GGACAAAAACAGAAGTTGCTGGAAATGCTCAGCAGGTCTGGCAGCATCTGTGAAGAAAAAATCAGTTAAGGTTTCGGGTCCAGTGACCCTTCCTTAACTCTGATTTTTTCTTCACAGATGCTGCCAGATCTGCTGAGCATTTCCAGCAACTTCTGTTTTTGTTCCTGATTTACAGCATCCACAGTTCTTTTGGTTTTCAGAGAGACCTGGGGTCCAGGTACATAATTCTTTGAAGTTTGCAGCACATATAGATAGGATGGTTAAGACATTTAGCACACTTGCCTTCGTTGCTCAGACCACTGAGTATAGGAGTTCAAATGTTATATTGAGGTGAGTGAGGCCTCTTCTGGAGTACTGTGTCCAGTTCTGGTTGCCCTGTTACAGGGAAGATATTATTAAGGTGGAGAGAGTTCACAAGAGATTTACCAGGATGCTGCCAGGAATGGAGGATTTGAGTACAGGGAGAGGCTGGATAGGTGGGTACTTTTTTAATTGGAGTGCAGGAGGTTGGGGTGGGGGGGGGGGGGTGTGACCTTATAGAGATTTAACAAATCATGAGGGCCATAAATAACATGAATCGCAGTTGTTGTTTCCCTAGGGTGGGGGATTTCAAGACTAGGAGGCATATTTTTCAGGTGAGAGGAGAAAGATTTAAAAAAAAGACATGAGGGGGAATTATTTTACACACAGTGATTTGTGTGTGGAATGAACTTGTAGAGGAAGTGTTGGAGACAATAAGGACTGCAGATGCTGGAAGCCAGGGTCTACAGGTGTGAGACTGGCAAAGCACAGCAGGTCAGATAACATCCAAGGAGCAGGTAAGTCAACTTTCTGTGGGAAACCCTTTATCAGGAAGTGGTGGATGCAGTTACAGTCAGAACATTTAAAAGACGTTTGGATAAGTACATAAATAAGAAATGTTTGGAGTGATATGAGACAAGCACAGGCAGGTAGGGCTAGTTTAGTTTGGGATTATAGTTGGCATGGAATGGTTGGAGCGAAGGGTCTGTTTCTGTGCTGTATGACTCTAGGACAGCGATCCTGCAGGATGTGATTGAGCAGTACAGCTGAGACGTGGCTCTTGCAGGGACACACTCTTCCGCAGCAGCAGTAGAATAACCGGCGAGAAATGGCTGCAGCCGAGTTGCGCAAAGAGCTAGAAGATTATTTGAAAGGGCTGAACATCGAGACTGTGTGTGAGGAACATCCTGAGGTGAGCGCTTGGATCCGGAAAGTGAGCATTGTCTGAGTAACAGCAGCAGCTGCTGGAAACGCTGCAGAGCGGTCATAGCCACCGTCTGGGGTTGGTGCTGCAGGCTGATCCCGTCTTCCGGGTCAGTAACCCAGGGGACAGCTAAACTTAAACAGAAAGTAAAACGGAAACGGACTGCACGTTAGGGTCTATTCTAATGCTTCTTCGTGAACAAATGCCATGTTATTTACAATATGATGATGTTAAGAGAGCTATTTAATTCAGGAGAAGTCTTTTTTTGCGTAGGGAATGCAGAGCTTGCTGAGGAGTAGTTAAGCTTAATAGATCCGGTTAAGGGGAAGCCGGGGGAAAGAACGTCATGTTGATGGGGTGAGGTGAAGGAGAGCAGGAAGTTCTTGCAGAATATAAATGTGGATGTGGACGTGTTGAGCCACGTGGTCTTTTTCAGTGCTGTTCACGTACTTCAGTGGATTACAAAGTATTATGTTATCCACGGAGTAAACTTGTTTGGGCTTAACAGAGGTTGTGATGTACAGTACTTAGTAACTTGTTAAGTGTTCAAATAGGTGAGTTTCTTTTAGTACACTTTCCTGCAGCCAAAGAATGCATAAGGGCAAGCGATGTTTCCTGAAAGACCGATATAATCGATCAGTAAAACAAAATTTCCAAATAGGTTATTGGTTGTATCTTGCAACTGAATGGTGTAACAATCTTTTGTTGCTTTAAAATGACACGCGAGCGGTGAAAAATCAACATACGTAATACTTAAGATATGAAAATATGATGGAAAACCATTCACACCTATTAAGAGGCCACACAGTGGTTGATGTTCAGTATAACAGCAGCTGAGGAAGTCTGAGATAACAAGGTGTAGAGCTGGATGAACACAGCAGGCCAAGCTGCATCAGAGGAGCAGGAAAGCTGACATTTCGGGCCTAGACCCTTCATCAGAAATCTTATCTTCATTGTCATTATCTGCTTTTCCCCCTCTTACAACTTGTTTAAAAAAAAATTATGAATCCTCTGAAATTCAAAGATATTGAGTGGAAAAGCCAGGTCTGAAGCGCGTGTATTGAATTCTTGTGGAAAAGCAGGATCACCTTTGGTTCCTATTGAGTCGTGGAGTTGTACAACACGGAAACAGACCCTTCATTCCAACTCGCCCATGCTGAGTAGATATCCTATATTAATCTAGTCCCTTAATGAATTTGGCCCTTATCCCTGTAAACCCTTCCTATTCATGTACCCATCCAGATGCCTTTTAAATGTTGCAATTGTACCAACCTCCATCACTTCCTCTGGCAGCTTATTCCATACACACACCGCCTCTACCTGAAAAGGATACCCCTTAAGTCCTTTTTATATCTTTCCCCTTTCACCGTAAACCTACACCCTGTAGTTTTGAACTTCCCTACACTGAAAAAAAGGACTTTGGCTATTCACCTTATCCATGCCCCACATGATTTTATAAACCCTCAGCCTCCGATGCTCCAGGGAAAATAGCCCCAGCCTATTCAGCCCCTTCCTATAGCACAAATCCTCCAACCCTGGCAACATCCTTGTAAATCTTTTCTGAACCCTTTCAAGTATAACAATATCTTTCCTATAGCAGGGAGACCAGAATTGAATACAGTATTCCAAAAGTGGTCTAACCAAGTCCTGTACAACTGCAACATGACATTCCAACTCCTATACTCAATGAAGACCGAAAGAACCGCGGATGCTGTAAATCAGGAACAAAACCAGAAGTTGCTGGACAAGCTCAGCAGGTCTGGCAGTATCTGTGAAGAAAAAATCAGAGTTAACGTTTCAGGTCCGGTGACCCTTCCTCAGATGTCCCCCATTTTGAGGAAGGGTCACGAGAGCCAAAACATTAACTCTGATTTTTTCTTCACAGATGCTGCCAAACCTGCTGAGCTTTTGCAGCAACTTCCGGTTTTTTCCTATACTCAATGCACTGACCAATAAAGGCATGCATACCAAATGCCTTCTTCACTAGCCTGTCTACCTGTGACTCCAATTTCAAGGAATTATGATCCTGCACCTCAGGGTCTCTTTATTCAACAACACGCTCCAGGACTCTATATTAAGTATAATCCTGCCCTGATTTGCCTTACCAAAATGCAACACCTCACATCTAAATTAAACTCCATCTGCCACTCCTCGGCCTATCGGCCCAACTGATCAAGGTTCCGTTGTACTCTGAGATAACTTACTTCACTGTCCACTACACCACCAATTGTGGTTTCATCTGCAAACTTACTAACGATTCCTCCTATATTCACATCCAAATCCTTTATGTAAATGACAAAAAGATCTGGAACCAAACTCACTGGTTAGGATGACTTGCTGATACTGTTACATGGAACCAACGTAATCAACAATTTGCTGTGTAATCTTCCTGCAATGGTCTTAGACCAGTTACATGTTGAGTAAAAACCTTTCCCATTAGGACACTTGCCTGGACTGAAGGCGCCTTTCTTTTGCCTATGTGTACAACCTATGATCCCTGGACCTGCAAGGAAATCTTGTGAAGGAAACAAAGCCACACCCTCTGAGTTTAACTGGCCAAATCCGTGTCAAAGTGAATAAAGTCAGAAATCTTAGTGAACAAGGTGTTGTGGAACTGGCACTTGCAGTGTGTTAGATCCTGAAGATGTCAACAGACCTGAACCTGAAATTGAGGGTGATAGTCATCTTGACAATGACAGGTGTGGATGGACGTCTTCAAAGAGATTGCAGAGGTGTCTGCAACCACATGCCTTGAAGTATTGCTTTCAGTAATACTGTGAAAGATGACTTTTAGCTGACAGAACGTACACTCAGGATATTGCCTTCTCCAAGGTGTAGCCCTGTGTCCTCTGAGCTCCAAATAACTGTATAATACGTGGCTGCTATGTTACAGGGAAACCTCTTGGCACTTGCATGAAATTACTCTCCTTGGAGTTACACAAAGTTGCTGTTCGCCACAAGATCAGCAAACTCAGGGAGAAAAAACTACTTCTGCCAGCCTTTTACTGCTAAATGCAAGCTGGCTGATTTCAGCCTTTTTACTGTTACTATCAATCCATTTCACTCAATGAGTGCCACAGTGCACCCCCCTTTTCCAAACCGACAAGGTTTGGACACAGCGTGGAACCCTGCACTGGATGAGGAAGAAGGAATCCAATGTTAAAAATCCTATTCATCTTTAACTGACCCAATTGTTTTGCTGACAGACCAAAATGGTACTCTACTGACCTCAAAACACACCTGGGGAAAGCCAAAAGAGGAGTGGATGATGCCAGAATCTTAACTTGATGTCAGTGTCCAAGAACTTAATTTCCTATATGCACTGTAACCTGCCTTCACTTGGCTTTAAAAATCCTGCCCTGTATTTGTCCCTCCCTGGAGCTGTTTGTTTGTCTGTGTCTCTCAAACGCATTTTTCATTCATTGGAAAGTTGACATTTTATTTCAATGACACAAGTAGCAGGAGCTTTCTGCCTCTTTTTAAAGTTCAACCTTTTTTGAAAATGTATGGATAGTTTTTATTAATTTAATATATTTCCTTCAGCATAAAGTAATCATAGACCTAGAGGACCATAGGGCTGCTCTCTCAAAGAGATAATTGGTGGTGGTTTAACTATGCCTCAGGTGAAGGATAGGTCAAGAAGGTAGGAGGTTCATGTTGACCTCAGCCAGTGTTGGAATTGAATCTGCACTGTCAGTGTCACTCTGCATTGTAAACCAGCCGTCCATGCAACTGAGCTAACTGATCCCCATTTGTTTAAGCATAGAGAAGGCAAAAAAACTAGAACCGGTGTATAATCCTACCATTTTTCTCTCATGTAGCTTCTTTGTTTTTTTAAAAAAACGGCACTAACTATAAACTTCATTTAAGGTTTTTGAAATTTGGCCCTAAAATTTCTTCAATTTTGAGAACCATTGGATGAGAAACTGCTAAAGTCTAAAGAAATTATTGCTTATTTGACTTGTTAAATTGCACTGAAGCATCTTTGGAAATTGTTCAAACACTATATGCTCAGATTGCATTTAGGGTTGCCAACAGATTAAATGTATTCCTGGAGGTTTCATTATATGACTTGCTCCACATTCCAGCCATTAGTCGTCTAAAACATTAATCTTTACATCATGCTGCCTTTCTACACCAATTGGAAAGCAAAAGACTCACTACTCAATTGGATGATGCTTGACTGTCAGCCAAACTGCATTTTATTCCATTTTCAATATTTTTATATCTAGTAAAGAAAAATATGGAAAGAACATGATGAATCAGAGGAAATATCAATAAAACAATAATTTAATGCCCTCTGATTTGTCTGCCTGGGGTTGCAAACAGCAATTTCCTGGTGATTGATCTTCAATTCCAGGCCAAAACCAGAGGATTGGCAATCCTATTTGCACCATCAGTATTCGGGTCTAGGCTGAGGCTCTGAAAGGTTGAAAGAATGAATGAAGGCAATAAAATGCAGAAAACCATGGCATTTAAAAAAAATATTCTCAGGATGTGGATGTGGTTGGCAAGATTGACTTTTATTGCTCTAGCCTAAGCTGTCTTGAGAAGTGGGTGGTGGACCATTTTGAACCAAAGTCATCTAAAATATATATCACCTAAATACATGGAAACAGGTTCTGGATGTCTAATTGAATCATAACCAAGTGATAATGCATTGCATTGTCATGATTTGATACAACTGTGTGCCTTGCCAGGCTACTTCAGAAGGCTGTTAAGAATCAACCACATCGGTCCATCAGTCTGCATAAGGACAAGCTAAGTGAACCAGTGAGTCTCCACATAAATCTTCGTATTGTAGTGATATTAATTGATAGTAACTTTTTTTTCTGGTTAGTTTCAAACTGAATTCAAATTCTCAAACTGTCATGGTGGGACTTGATTTTGCATTCCCACAATTATTAGTCCAGTAACATAACTACTATATTCTAGTACCTATAAAAAGCATTGAAAGTTTCAAATTTGTGATTTATGGTTAAAAGATGATGTGGCGCCACATTGTGGTGGTACAGAGAATCATGACAGGCAAGAGATGAGATTAATGTCAGGGAATGAATATGCAGACTTCTTTTGCAGTGGAATTTCCACAGGAAATGATTACATGACATTTTTAAGGATCAGCACACAAATCTTGCTATATTAATGGTTGGACTTCCTATCATTTCACATGGTGAATCAAGAACAAACGCAGCCTTCGGGTGAAGTAGGTTTGGGACAGGTGATAATTGGATCAGGGTTCATAGGCCCAGCTTTAAAAGATCCATGTTCTGATCTTATTAGAATGTTTACTCAATAAATGTCTATGTTCATTTGTGCTTCCTTGCTGTCTCCTGCACTGGAATAAGATTATTTCAGGTTTATTTCCCATTATAAATACGAATGTAAAATGTACCAGAAATTAGTTGACGGCAAATGAATGCGGGCAGATGATTCTTATGTAACATACAAACAGAGTTGACTATAATGTTCTACAAAGCCTACATTTATTATGAATTTTAGAAAATTTGCTCTTTTTTTATAGGTGTTCACTGTTGAAGCCATGATGCCTTACGTACAACACCTTAAAGGGGCACACAGTAAGAATCTGTTTCTGAAAGACAAGAAGAAAAAAAGCTTATGGTTAGTGACAGTCTTATACAACAGACAAATCAACTTAAATGACCTTGCAAAGAAGCTTGGCTGTGGAAGTGGAAATCTGCGCTTTGCAGACGAAGGAACAATGCTGGAAAAATTAAAAGTTGGTCAAGGTTGCGCAACACCTCTTGCTTTGTTTTGTGATAAACAAGGTGATGTAAAATTTGTGTTAGATTCAAACTTTGTGGATGGAGGACATGAAAGAATCTATTTTCACCCAATGATTAATTCAGCCACTATGGGTATAAAGCCTGTAGACTTCTTGCATTTTGTAAAGGAAACAGGACATGAACCTACAATTGTAAATTTTGATTAAAATAGAAACAAAAGCTTAAATAAAATGACTTGCAACTGACTGGTGCTTTCAATTTTTACAATAACCTTTTTTTTGAAATTGAGACTACTTTCATTGCCGTAAATAATTCCACTAAATTGTTTTAAAGTTTTAACAGAGGGTCATCCTTTGTATTAATGGAAGAGTGCCACTGTCTCACATGTATTGATTACCTGCTGTATCTTATCTTTTACCACCAATTGTATAAAAATATGGAGAGAATCAATTACAATGTATGTGAGAGTTTATTTCCTTTTCATTGAAATGTTCATAGCACAATGTTTTGTCATTTATTTCCTTGGAGATGCAGGTGGGGGTTAGTGCTGGAGACACACACACCATTTGAATATATATGGCCTTTTATCAAGCAGTCTGAAGTCAGATTAAACATAATTTGATGCAGAATTAATCTCTACTCCTTCCTAAACATATACTTCTGCTCCAAAATCAGAAAAGTATTCCCTTATATCTCACTGTGACAGTTTTCCATTTTTCCACAATATCCAACTTGAAGATTTCTGATTGAAAGGACAAGATTTTCAAGGCTTAAATTGGAACCAAAACATATGAGTGCTGGACAGAGCAGCTGGAGAACCTGCCTCTACTTTTGACTTTGGCCATTTTCACATGAGTGGATTTGGAGTCAAACCGCCAAACTTGCCTACTCCTATAAATGATGAACAAGAGAAACTGAAAAAAAAACCCTGCAGATGCTTTAAACCAGAAACAAAAACAGAAATTGCTGGAAAAGTTCAGGTCTTACATCATCTGTGGAGAGAAATCAGAGTAAGCATTTCAGGTCAAGTGACCCCTCATCAGAATTCAGATGTTGTGACCTGATTAGAAGCCCACTCCAGGTATGCTTGCTAATTTTCATGGACCTGGCCAGAATTTAACAACTGTTAGGCATTACACTAGCTGCAGGCTTTGGAAGCAAGAAGAGCTTAGGTTTTGCCCCCTTTATGGATCAGCATTGCATGCTGTAATATGAGGTATATCAATGTTGAATAAGCTGTGCTGTGATTGGACAATGAAAGTAAACTTTAAGCAGCATGTTTGCTAGATTATTACGTCTGCCAAATGCCAAGCTATTCAATAAGAGGTCAACATTATACAATTGAAGTTTTTGGATGAATTACAAGGATGAGCATTTAATGGACATAAAGGTAGAGTAAATTTTATACAATAAAAGGGTAAAATGTATTATGATAGCCAAGTGTAAATGTTTTATTTTTACCATTTGCTTTTATGTATTCAGTCCAGATATCTGTTGAGATTGCAGTTCTGAAGTCCTTTTGTTTTTTTGGAGCTTTATGAGCTATTCAACAACTTCCAACTGTTACAATAGAACCTATGAGCTGTGTTCATAAAGTAGATAATTAGTAGGGGGAGCTTAAAGTGATCAAGGTTCACCAGTGTATAGGTGAGACTGAGTTAGAAATACTGGGCTGATTTTATTTTGGGAATGAAGGCAGACATTTTAACCTTGCTGTTTTGGACTGTGACCTCCCTTCTATTTCATTAGAAAATGCCAAGAAGAAGAAGAAATCTTAAAACTCTCATCCAATTAATTACTTGAAATGTAATTTTAACTCCATTCTAATCTCCTGCCTTTTCCCATAACCTTGCACATTGTTTCTATTTAAATAATCATCCAGTGCCCTCTTCAATGCTTGGCTTGAATCTGACCACATATTATGTAAAAACGTTTATTTCTCAACTCATAGTTTCTCCCTATCTGACAGGACCGTTCATGATTTTGATAACTTCTATCAAATCTCTTGGCCTCCTCGTCTCCAAGGAAAATAGTCCCAACTTCTCCAATCTTTCCTTATGACTGGTGTCTCATCACTGGAACTATTGTCGTAAACCTCTTCTGCACTCCCACGGTCCTCCTGATCTCTTCATAGTTTACAATTCTTCCAAGTTTTATTCTGCAAGCTTTGAAATTGATCCTCACATGCCAACATTTAGATAATTTATTATTACGTATATAAGGAAAAGCAAGGATCCCAATACTGAACCTTGGGGAACTCCACTACAAATCTTCTTTTAGCCTGAAAAATACCCATTAACCGTTAAAGTTTCCTATCGCCCATCCAGTTTTGTATCAATGTTGCTATTGTCCCTTTTGCCAGAAACATTTGTTATGATAGTTGAGGCCATTATGAATGCTTAACTGGGTTTCTTAAGGTGGTAATGACTTCAGGTTAAAAACTTTTAAACTGTAACAACAGAATATGCCTTTGATACAGTTTCTTGTATATTTACAAATGTAATAGGCACTTAAAGGATTACACTGTTATGTTGCACTGGGATAGGTTTTTCTTTGGTAACAGTATTCGAATTCAGGGTTTTACTCGACTTTCAGAGGCTTAAATTTTTCAGTACTTGTTATCAGAATTTCAATATCATAATATTGTATTTGGATTGCTGCCGAGGACTACACATAATGTGTACTGGATGAGTGTCATAGAGATGGTATGGGAAATTTGAGTGGATGGGGTAATGTAGAAGTAGTTGAGGGGTGAGGTTTATGGGATCTTTAAACAACATAAGGAACTAGACTGCTTGTTGGAGAACTGGTTCAGGCCTTCCAAATAGCCTGTTTCTACACCCACACTCTTCATGAAGTCCATTGTAGCTTACAAAATGCACTGTTAACTGTGCAAAAAGAGAAGAGAAAATTCCTAGGCAAAGTCACATATGGGTCAGTGTACATTTTGGAAGATGTGAAAGTGCACGTTAGATTTTCCCAAACCCATAGGACAATCTGGCTTGTAGTTTCAAATATTGGGAGAAAGATGACAGCCACTTTAGCACATGGCTGGATCACATAAATTATAAGATGAATTAGTTAATTTATTTTGGTGATGACAGTCAAGCAGTAAACTTTGACTGCAGCACTAATATGGCATAATCATAGTGTCCTTACTGCTGTACCAGGAGCCCTGGGTTCAAAATCCCAAGCTGCTCCAAGGTTTTGAGATGACATCTCTGAACAGTCATTGCTTGTATCCACGGTACTCTGTTTTCACTGATGTAAAGAAAAAGGTAGGTTTGTGAGGATCAAGTATGTTTTTTCAAAACATACTCAAATGAACTGAGGTCAACTGAAACAAAGTGTCACAACTTTCTAGATAACAAGGTGCAGAGCTGGATGAACACAGCAGGCCAAGCAG